ACACGCTAACTCTCTAGACATAAAACCGAAATATAACTAAGTTTTGCCTAAAGCAGCAATTGGGATTGGACCACCCCTGCCTTTATTTCACAGTAATTCATAATTAAACTTCGCATAGCAGAGATTGAGGGCTAGCGCTATAGGCTCCCTTTGCTTTCTGCTCCGCTCTTTGCTCTTCTGTAAATAACAATTTAACCTCAGATTCATCCTCTGGCTGCCCAAACTCCTGCTATTTTATTTCAGATTACAATCTGGAGATGTGTGCTTATGTCAGCAAATTTACCTCACCCCCCTCTTCTAATTTCTCCTTTTATATTTCCTTTGCATTCTGCTCCCTGATATATTCTTTCTTACTTATTTTATAAATGCACTGATAGGTTCTAGCTTTCAAACCACTAAGGGGGGGTGGGGGTGGGCAAGGAATGTTTTTTTTTTTTTTTTTACGTTTACCCACTTTCCAGTTTCTTGCTGGAAAGCCAAGAAAGGATAAAGTTCTTGCCCTTATTAAATATTTATCAGTTAATTACAATATGTAGATTGTGCCGGTAGGCTATTCATCTTGTGAGGGGGAGATACAATAAAATACAGTGGAAAGTTGTGTTATCGTAATTGCCTGATGCCACGGGAAAGAACCAGAGCCGCTGCAATGTGTTTTACATTTATCTGCACCGCCGCATTTTCATTTTGTGCAGCAAAGCTGCCTCCGTTGTTGTTTCACGGATGCTTAATGTTTGCAACCTCGGCATTTTCTTCAGAGGTCTCCTTACAGGAAGAGAGTTGTTATCACAGCAGCCTCAGCAAAGATCTCTCTCTTTTCCCAATAAGAAGGGGAAGCTGGTAGACGAGAAAATTAACTCTACCTTCTCTGGTCCTTTCTGATTCAGAGCTTTGATTAGTCTGGCAGCAGAACTTAGCAGTCAAGTCCAGGTTACACACAACACACAACACACACACACTAAAAAAACCCCACATCCACAGGGCCTAAGTTCTGCTTTCAGACTGAAGCATTCACACCACCATATATTTAAAGCATCTCTCACCTCCCCCAAAAGAATCCTGGAATCTGTAGTTTAGCCCTCCTAGAGCAGCAAGTTCCAGCACCCTTAATAAACTACAGTTCCCATGATTCTTTGGGAGGGGGGAAAGTGTGCTTTGAATGTGTGATGTGTACCATTCAGTCATGCAATTCCCCACTTACAGATAAAAGTGGTATAGGCCAGAATTATTATCATTTTACTAAAATTAAGAGCTTTTTGGGTAGACTTGAGATGGATGTGGGGGGATGGAGTCATATTCCTTCAGCTTCAGGAACATACCTGACCTCCAAGTGTCCCTGTTTTCCAGGGTCAGTCCCAGATTTACAGAAGCCATCCTGGTTTCTGATTTGATCTGGAATGCCCCACTTTTCCTTAGTACACCCCTATCTTTGTCAGAGAAATGCTGGGGGGGTATGCCATATTCCTTAATGGACACCCTTTCAGTGGTCGTGTGCCACTAGGGAACAGGACCAGAGACAATTGACATATACCTTTCTAGAGTATACGATATTTCAGTCATGCAATAGAGCTCAGCTTTCTACGTGCCCACATCCCTCCATCCTGACAAACAAGAAGAAGAGAAGAAGAGTTTGGATTTGATATCCCGCTTTATCACTACCGTAAGGAGTCGCAAAGCGGCTAACAATCTCCTTTCCCTTCCTCCCCCACAACAAACACTCTGTGAGGTGAGTGGGGCTGGGAGACTTCATAGAAGTGTGACTGTCCCAAGGTCACCCAGCAGCTGCATGTGGAGGAGCCGAGATGCGGACCCGGTTCACCAGATTACGAGTCTACTGCTCTTAACCACTACACCACACTGGCTCTCGCAATTTAAGGCAGAGGTTTTCAACCTTTTTGAGTCCACAGCTTCCTTGACCAACTACATTCTTTCTGCGGCTCCCCTGTGGGGCTCAGCAGCCCAGTTATGTCACCCCTTGCCTGCAGAGCTGGCAGCCTCTCACCCTTTTTCAAACACCTTCCCTTGTGGAGTGTTCCTTCAGCCTCCTCTCCTCTCCCCTCTCCAGTTGCTGACCCTGGTCTCTGAGCTGCCTCGCCCCAGGCACCAAAGAGAGGTGCCTCCTCATACTGCCCCACAGGGGCCTGGGAAGCACCTCCTGGCCAGCCCCAGAGGCACCATTCTCCTGCGGAGCTCATAGCCAGGGCTGCTGCAATAAACAGCTGTGGAAGCCTTTGGGAGGTAGAGATGTGAGATAGCATCAGAGGAGGGAGGGAAGGAAAGAGGGACAGAGGCTAGTGTTGCCCATGGCACCCATCATTCAAGGCACCCCAGGGTGCCACAGCACACTGGTTGAAAACTACTGGTTTAAGGACAAAAGGCACTTGAGGAGAATGCGAAGCAGGACCATTGAGTGGTACCACTAGGAGCAGAGTCCCAAAGTCTGCGCATGGAGGCCTGGAGGAACAGATTTGTCCCCATGCCTGAGGTTCCCCACGTTTGCCTTTAAATTTGATGCAGTTCCATTTCAGTGAAAAAATGTCCACTGAGAATCAAAGGAGGTGCAGTGGTGTCACTGTTTCTAAACTGGTTTCACACAAGAAACTTTTAAGGCTAATTGAGACCATCAACAAATTTCAGGCTTGGCTTATGTAGTCCCATCATGAGATGGGACTGAGTCCATATCAAGAGCCAAGGGACCCCAGTTTGATAGAGTCCCTACTAGATCTGTAAGGGGCTGTGTGGAAAAGTGGAGGAAGGGTGCCCAGGTGCTGTTGAGCACTTAGACTACAATTCCCATCACTCACAGTCAGTATAATGAATGATCAGGGATTATGTGGGTTATAGTCCAAACACATCTGGGGACCCAAGGTTGGAGAAGGTTATTATCTGGAGATAAAAGGTTGTATTCAGTGTAGCACTGAGCAAATTGTTCCATTGGGATACAGCAAACCCCCCATTTATGTGCATTCAATATGTGTGCGACTGCGCATACGCGCATTGCACCAAACCTGGATGTGACCCCAAAAGTCACAAAAACATCACAAATGGGGGCAGAACTGGGCAGGGCAGGGATGGAACAGGGCATTTGAAGGCTTTTTCAATGATGTTTCAAATATACGTGATTTCACTGATGTGCACGATGTCTCAGAACGTAACCCATAGGTAAGTGGGGTTGTTGCCTGTATTTTTTTTCCCTTGCTCAATGGAACAACCTCCCCCTCACCTTCCCCCATAAGTTATGGGTGTTCCCCCAACCCTCTAGAGCATATTTGGGAGGTGGTGTGGGACTCATGCAGGGGAAGAAAGCATTGTGCTTGTGCAAAAATGTATCTGAATACCACCCAAGGCATCCCCCACCACCTCCACCCTCACCCAGTCCTCTGCAGTACTTAGTTGCAGTAGCCACTGAGACATGTGGGCCACGTTGGAAGCAGCTCAGGAGAAACCTGTGTGCTGTTTCCATCTGCTTAGACCTTCTGGTGAAACCTGTGCTTCTACTATGCCCCAATGCTCACCTTGCCCCATGCCAACAATCACCATCCGCTAAGGCACAGCATGTGGGTTGCGATGCATTACAGGTGCATGAAAAACACAAAAGATGAGATTTCCAGATGAATATGGGAAGCTACCTTGTGTTGAATTAAACATGGAGTCCATCTAGCCCACTTCTACTCCAGGGATGGAAAACCTGGTGCCTATGTAGACTGCTATTCCCATCAACCCCCATCCAGCATGAACAATGATCAGGCATAATGGGAGTTGTAGTCCAACCACATACTCTTCCCTTGTCTATTTCAGTAGCTCTTTGCAGTCTCTGGTGGGCGAATATCACAGAATCACAGAGTTGGAAGCGGCATCTAGTCCAACCCGCAGCAATGCAGGAATCCTGATCACAGCCATCCCTGGGTGGACTCAAACCACCAACCTTCTGGTTAACAATGGGCCAGACGCACTGACCCATTGTGATACTGGGCATCTCTCCCAACTATGCTACCCTATATCCTTTTAACTGGAGATGCTACAGATGAAAGCATGAGAACTTCCTCTGAGCTACGGCCCCTCTAAATGACCACACAAATATTTTTAGTTATTGCACCAGATTATTTGAGAATTATGCATTACACCTTTGGGATACTTTGCCATGCAAAATACTCTTAAAACATTCCTGTAGACTGTTGCATTCCAAGATCTGTTATTCCACACTTGATAGCAAATAGAACTGAGAACATGCCAGGATGATGATGGTATTCTCAAATTCTCCTAGAGACAAATTGACTTGGAGGTGGGAATTGCATTTATATTATTGTAGTTCTCTGACTATGTATTCTGCAGGGTTCATGCATTTAATAATGCTTCTTAAAGGTGTAAAAATATTGACAGATTGATCTTTAACAACATTTTGCGAAAATTCATCCACAGGTGAATTGGAACTGATCCCGCCAAAATTAAACCTTTTTTTAAAATAGTTTAAATTGGAGAGGTTTTAACATGTGGTATAGTGGAATTTTCAGACTGAAACCAAATAGGCTAGTGAAGAAACTGGTTCTTTATTTTGGCACCAAAAGAAGCACCTCCCGTTACCATGAAACAATGAACGCAGCACCATGCAAGCTGGATTCTTTTGCAAACTGGACCTTGCATCTGACCACTAAACTCTCTTGACTGATACTTGCCCTACCAGAAGCCGCTTAAAGGAGGATAGAAGGTCTCACTAACTTGTAGTCCAAGGAAATGGAAGAGGTTTAATGGAAGGCAGGGGCCAGTTTAGGAGGTGGGGGAGAGAAATGCACAAGGAGGCTAAGCTCCAAAGCTGCATACTAACTGGGAGATGAAAGAGCTAGAGGCCTTCTGAAGTACGTGCTGTCTCGATGATTAATGGGGGTGAGGGAAGGGTGAGGCCCAGCCCCTAGTAAACTACAAGATGGCAAAGTGATTCTAAGAACAACAGAGCAGTGTTCATGGAGAAAAGCTAGTCTGCCTACGCCAAGAAAATCTCCCGGTGCTGTTTTTAAAAAGCCTCTTTATTTCCAGTATCAAAACAGTACATTAAAATAGATGCCAAGAGCCAAGCAATCATTAAAAATAAACCATCGGTGACGTGTAGCGTGCAGTGAAAACATTGCTCACTGCTGCAGCAGCGAGGCTGCAAGCTGGTTCTCCCAAGACGCATTCACTAGCCGCGCCTGATGGCAAGACAATAGCCCTCAGAGGCAGCCATTCACTTGCCCAGGAACTACAACAAGCAGGTGATTTCAATATTGGAGCTGGATCACAGGAGATTTTTTTTTGTTTTTTAAGATGTAGGTGTGGAATTTCGAGTGTTATCTTTGATGTTAGGCATGCATTGGGAGATGCTTATTGTCAAAGATTTAGTGCAGTCTGGAGAGATGGGCTCTCTGCAACAGGGTTTCTTGGAGTGGGCTTCCCTGATAGCGCTAGGTTCTTACCTAGAGGTGGTAACACCCTGGCAAGGGATGAAAGAGGAAGGAGGAATATGCATCTTGCCTATTCTTGCTGCATTGGCACCACAATTCTGTCAGAAAATATTTTGATGAGGCTTAGGCAATAGCAACATACGGCAATGGCTTTTCAAACTATGATCTATGGTACCTGGGGTTCATCAGTAGCTCAATGGGATTTCTCAGTCAGAAGATCAGTACTGATGGGCAAGCTTTCTTGGAGAAACAGCTTGACTACCACTGCCTATCTTCTCCTGGGCTAGACCCCTTCACAGGAGTTCCGAGTCTACTCTTGGTTCACATGGGGCCATCGTGAGGACCCACCAGTGCCAATGGCCACTAGCCACCAGGACTATTATGGTTGGTAAATGCTCATCTATGTTTGCCTGTAGAAAGATATTGGACCTTAAAAGATCCCTGCTATTAGGGCAAGGTGTCTGCTCTTCACCCTGTGAAGTGCTAAACCTTTGGAATGGAATAGGCAAAGAACTGGACTTGGAAATAGCCACACTTAGGCTGCAATTCTACATCTACTCTTCTAGGAGTAAACCCAATTGAACTCAACAAGACTTGCTTCTGAGTTGTCTTGTATGGGGTAGCAAGGTTAGTTAAAAGTCTTTCACTTCATGAAATGAATGCCTGAAAACCAGAGCAACTATGATCAGCCTGATTTCTCCCCTTTTCCAAGAGGATCATGAGGCCAATAGCTGCTGAACAACTGAGACCCACACTGCCTTCCTTTCCAATATCATTCACAAAACCCTCTTTACAAAACGGATGTTTAATAATCCAGTGCATAGACTGCCTTAGGTTTGGTTTGAAGACAGCCTTGCTTTGGGTGAATTATCAACTTTGCAGCATCCAGAAGCAGCCCCTCCCCCACCAATGAATGTCCTGTACAGTTAAATAAATGGGAGGTAATGGGTGGGCAGATAGGAGTGGTAGGCGGTTGGAGGGGGGTTGGGGGAGAGAAATGCTGTTGGTTGCACTTAGAGGGTTTTTTCTTTTTTTAATGAGATAATAGGACTGTAGCAATTTCCCCTGCTTGGTTTCCATGGCAGAGAGAGCCCTCACAGATGCATAAGATTTACAGGTCCCTGAGAATCTCCCTGAGGCACAGGATGTGTTGCTAAATCTGTGTAAATGGGATGTGAGTTGGACAGCCCAAGCTGGTGATGACTGGGGATTTCGGCAACACAGCTGTAGTCCAGGTTTGCAGAGGAACAGTCAGGGAAGCTGAAGAGTGAGTCAGCCTCGGGCATATTTCCCAGGTAATTTTCTTCCACTTCGCTTGGACTCCCTTGCAGAACTGGAGGTCCATAATGAGGACTGTCTCCTTGCAGAGAAAGGGGGCCATACTCCAAGGAGATGGACGCTAAGGAGCTGTCAAAGAGAGGGTCTGTATAACTATATACCCCACCCTGGGCCTTGCTACATGAACTTGGTGTGGCCAAATCATACTCAGCCTCCATTGGACTGAAATAGTCACTCACTTGAGGACTTTTGCTCGGGGACTTCCCAATGGTCCCCTTGACCCTGCTGTCTTTCTTATACTTCATCCTTCTGTTCTGGAACCAGATCTTGATTTGCCTCTCAGAGAGCCTCAGAAGCCGGGCCATTTCCAGCCTGCGTGGCCGGCAGAGGTATCTATTAAAATGGAACTCCTTCTCCAGTTCCACCAGCTGCGTTTGGGTGTAGGCTGTGCGGACCCTCTTGGATGAGGAGAGACTTGGTGGAGAGGAGCTGGGGTCTAAATGAAGAAAATGGAAAAAGTCAATTCAGCTTGGTTCTTAATGACTTTGCAAGGAATAGATGTATTGCCTCACAAAATATTGTACCTGGGAGTATAATAATAATAATAATAATAATAATAATAATAATAATAATGTATAGCGTACATCAGAGGTGGGGAACTTGTGGTCCTCCTGATGTTGCTGGACTACAAGTCCCAACATCTCTATCATTCACCTTGCTGGCTGAGGCTGATGACATCTGGAAGGCCACAGATTCTCTACCCCAATGTACAAGCGTGCATGTTATGTGCAGCTCAAACTCAGAGAGATGTTAGAGCTGAACCAAAACAACTCACAGATTTTGGCAAATGTGTTCAGTTGTGTTGCCCTTTCTTGGTGGTCCCACCCTCACCTTCCACAAGGCACCTGGCAAGAAATGTTTGCTTATTTTACCCTCAGTGAGTGACATCACACAACCCAATCTGATTGACTGGATAGTGTTGAATGTTACATCATCCTGGTAATTGTGTAATCTGTAACTGAGTTGGATCACTGATGTAATTCATACAAGATGGAAGAAAAGGAAGAGCTCAGAGTGGTAAAAGTGGTAAAAGTGCCACCCCCACCCCCACCCCCAAAAAACTCAAGAGAAATAATGGCAACTTAATTGGAAAACGTGAGTATTTATGTTCCCCCATAATTGCTAGTTTCTACTAAAAATTGGAAACTGGAGAATATTTGGTTCAGCTCAGTAACATTCTGCATTCTTTGAAAGTCAGTTTGGAGGGTTTGTGTTTCCATTTGCAAAGAATGGAAATGTTCTGATCCGTTTTATTCTATGATATGCTATTATGTATGTGTATCTATTTGTCTCTATGTCCGGTTGAATAATTATTTGTCTTTCTATATATGTCTATATCCTTCCTACGCTAATGGATTAATCTAAATGAAAACCTAATGTTTATTTAATAAGACATATGGCTATTCTCATAATACTGGGAGGTTGGGGTTGGTAAAGGACCTATAAAGAATATATTAGAGCAACTTTTAAAAGAAAAATTATATATAATTCTTACCGAATTCCTCAACTGGAAGCCTAGTTGCTCCTATTATCCCAATATAAAATGGAATATAAATATAAGCAAATAAAAAGTATAGAAGTACTTTGTAAGTTATTGTCCAGAAATTGCTCTGAAGATACATGTTGTGGTTCAACTGGTAAAGTTAAGAGTCTCTGGCCTTAAGCAGTCTCTGGACGGAAGACCACCAGAGAACCCTCCATAATGTGTGCTCAGTTCCTTGGAGGAAGGACATGGTATAAATTAAAGTACCGCATGGTGTAAGCTAAAGTACTGCATGTGAACACGTTTGAAAGTACAAGGAAAGCTATAGCCTAGATCCATGGTGGCCAATGATGTGCATTCCAGATGCTGCTCTTTGGCCACAACTCCCATCATCCCTGACCATTGCTGTCTGGGACTGGTGGGTGTCTATCAACCTTGGGAGAGCACCATGTTGGCTACCATTGGATAGATGCACATTGGAATCAAGCATGGGAGATGACAGATAAAACAAGGTACCTGAAGATGGAAGGTTGTTCTTCTGCTTGCTGCTGTGTCTTGTTTCTTTCATCCAAGGGAAGACTTGTTTTGGTAAATGGCTAACATGTGGCTTGCTAGTGCCATTGGTAACCAATGGAGGATGTTGCACTTTTGAGGTCTGATCACTGGTGTTCCCTAGAGACGCCTGTTTGGTGCCTTTTTGGCCTGTTGGAGACCTTGTGGATGTGTCTGGCGCCTGGTGTGCCAGTGGAGCTGGAAATTCTTGCTGACTAAAGGAATCCCTTCTAATGGGATCTTGGTCCAAACTGCTTTCTGAGGAATCCTGGTCATCTTCATGAAGAGCTTTTTGCATTTCCTGTTCTTGTCTGACTGAAGGGGCAGGGAAGGAGACAGATACCTTGAAATGAATGTGAAAGGAATCCAGACAGAGCTCCAGTTATTACCACTGAGGAAGGATCCTCCTCACCCATGTGTTCCAAAAACTAAAGAGAAACATCCGAAGTAAACATGCCCACATCTCAAAGCAAAAACATTTACCGACCATTCTGGCCTCTGTCCAGAAAAAGGAACCCACCAAAAAAAAGAGAGAGCAAGAATCATGAACTTTAAACAAAGAGAGTCTTTTGAGTTTCAACATGTTTAGAGTTGAAACTATTTTGCTCTCGGAAATTATCCTCCGCAAACATTGTCAAGTATACACCAGATATTTAATGTCTGTATTTGCTGAAGTTGATTTTAATATTTGACAGCGTTTGACTGCTGATACATAGTGGTTTTAGTGCTTTGACAGTATTTGATAAGTGAAACACCAAAACAAAAATATTTGGAGAAATCTTTACCAGCGGTCGCTACCGTAAGTCATATGGATAAGATCAAATATTTGTTGTTCAATATGGACAGGTCTGTGATGTTTAATACAGCTAAAAGCCCCTTAACTTAAACAAGGTGATATGGCTTCCCTCAAGATCTAACTTTCAGCTTTTTATGTATGTTTTATTTATTGTATAAGCTAAGATTTATTTTTATGTATAATTTTATATATCATTTATGTTAATATGTTTCTGTTTGGTTGCCTTATTAATGAATTTGAAAACTGACCCACAGTTATGTCTGGTCTTATATTGTGTTTGAGAAACAGCATAATATACCTAACTAGTAGTTAGAATGATACTTAATTATTGAACAAGTGGCCCATACAACAAGATTGTATTCCTGAAGGAGCGTATCCACCCCCATCGTTCAGCCCGGACACTGAGATCCAGCACCGAGGGCCTTCTGGTGGTTCCCTCACTGTGAGAAGCAAAGTTACAGGGAACCAGGCAGAGGGCCTTCTCGGTAGTGGCGCCCACCCTGTGGAATGCCCTCCCATGAGATGTCAAGGAAATAAGCAGCTATCCTATTTTTAAAATACATCTGACAGCAGGCCTGTTTAGGGAAGTTTTTAATATTTAATGCTGTATTGGTTTTAACACTTGATTGGGAGCTGCCCAGAGTGGCTGGGGAAACTCAGACAGATGGGTGGGGTATAAATAATAAGTTGTTGTTGTTGCTGCTGCTGCTGCTGCTGCTGCTGCAGTGTATTATTGCAGTGTGAAGTGCTCCAGTTCAGTGTCTCGGCCAACACACCATGCATTCTCTCAGAATGCTCCATAAAATTCTTTTTTCCCCTCCAGTCTTCTGGAGCCCTCCCCAATATTCTGTGGCCATTGAGCATGTTCATTCCTGAATGGGTTGTTTGGGGGCTCCTTTTCCTTAGGAGTCGTCTCCCCCCCAAAAAAATGACCCCACTTCTGAAAACCTTGGAGTTTCCTCTGAGCGTGGCATTATCTTTCTCTTGTGTATAGGCGATGCCTATACATAAGAATAGATGCTAGGAGAATAAGTCTTAGTATTTATTATTATATATGATAGTATATATGATCGAATCCCCACGGCGGGGTGCGCTCCTGTTGCTCGGTCCCAGCGCCTGCCAACCTAGCAGTTCGAAAAGCACCCCCGGGTGCAAGTAGATAAATAGGGACCGCTTTATAGCGGGAAGGTAAACGGCGTTTCCGTGTGCGGCTCTGGCTCGCCAGAGCAGTGATGTCACGCTGGCCACGTGACCCGGAAGTGTCTCCGGACAGCGCTGGCCCCCGGCCTCTTGAGTGAGATGGGCGCACAACCCTAGAGTCTGGCAAGACTGGCCCGTATGGGCAGGGGTACCTTTACCTTTACCTTTATGATAGTTGTCAGGGGTTCAGGGAGAGAGGCGCAGATGAGGGAGGAGACTGAGAGCGAGGGGGAAGGATCCCAGGGCGACGAGGAAGAAGATGACAATGAGTCAAGGGGTTCCATGAGTCTCTCCAGTGAATCGGAGGATTCCCAAAAGGGAGCGCCCCTGGTCAGGCCAAGGGGAGCCACAGGGGGGAGTAGTCAGGAGCAGGGCAGCAGCAGGGGAACCCCCAGTGGGAGTTGGAGATCTGGACCGGCTTCTCCACCGGAACGGAGTGAAGGGGGTGGAGTTCCCAGTGTGTCAGACGGAGCAGAACAGGAAGCAGAGAGGGGAAGGAGATCGGGGCAAGACGTCCTGCCGGAAGGGGCGGAGAGTAGTACCGAGAGCAGTGTAACTGTCAAAAGGAAGGTCAGAAGCAGCGTACGCGCGCCAAGTTCAAATGTGGAGGCGCGCGGAAGTGAGGAGAGCCCGGAGGAGGAGCCTGGTCCCAAAGCACGGAGGAGGGGGGAGCAGGCGTCAGAGGATTCAGCCTCTGGGGAATCCCGGAGGGAGGGAACCCAGGGGGGCAGAAAGACCCTGCGGAAAAGGAAGGAGAGGAAGAGGTGGTCCAGCGCAAGCCTCTTAAACTGGTGTAGAGGCGGGACTGATTCAGAAGGGACTTCAGCGGTCTAAGCCTAACAGACGTGGGGTCACGCGCCTCGGATGTGGAGCTAACAATGTTCTTCAATAAAAGCTTTTGTACATAAGCTGGACTTGGCGTTGGTCTCTTGTGAGCTGGGACCTTGGGTGACCCTGACAATAGTATTTGATAGTTGGAGGTTATGATATTATTTTACAGTTTACTGTCAAAGTCAAAACAAATCAAATCAAGAGATGCCACTAAATCCACAGCTCTCATATTTGGAGAGGAAGATTCCACATTCAGAGCTGAGATTCCATGAACAACATTTGACGTTCTGGGGAATTTTGAATATTTAATTTCAATTCCCAAGCTTGTTCTGTCACCTTTATTAATGGTGGTCAAAAGCAAGCATGCTAAAATGATGCCAATGAAGAGATCAAAAAGTATAACTGGGAGAGGGAGGGAGGACTCTTTGGTGTTTATTGGTTTGTGCATAAATGATAATTATTTAATAAGCAGCATTTGGGTGAGGTAGAGTATAATTGGGAGATGAGCTCAGGGACGCGGACTTATAAAAAATATTGGGGGGCCCGGGAAAGCTCATGAATAATAAATAAGCTCATGAATATGCAAATAAAGTGGCACCGCCTCCTCGTGAGCGAATAGGGGAGAGTGTGCTGCGCCTATTAATCAGCTCCAAAGGAAATTGGGTGGAGCTTTTGCTCGGGAGGGAGGGCAGGAGGCATGCAGCCCGCCCCTCCCTGTGCATTTTGGGCTGGGGGAGGGGCAGCGATGGCGCTCTGCTGGAGGGGCGCCGGAGATTATTGGGGGGGCAGAGCCCCCCCAAACGAATTTTTGAGGGGGCTCGGGCCCCCTCAAGCCCCATGGAGTCGGCGCCTATGGATGAGCTCCCAAACCCTTACACTAATAACAACCTTTATCCATCACCAATCCAGTGTATGTACATTTATGTGCATATATACACATGGATGCAGTCTTCTGCTGGATATAAGGAGAAATATCTCCTCTCACGGATGTAGTAGCCACATGTACAGATAACAACTCTGTTTAAATAGGTCCTCTGTTTAAAAAGCTGTCTGGTCCAAGTGTGGTTTAAAGGTAAAGAACCATAATAAGAACACAGTGCCGCCTGATGCTGGCTATAAGGACAAATATATTCCCTTCACTTTGGGCAGATAATCTCTCCAAAGCACAGAGGAGGTGATAGATACAATGCTAAGCCTTAGCTGTGTTGGGGTGGGGTGGAAGAGTACACAATAGCCCTACAGCAATTCTGTATCCAGAAATCGTACAACAGGGGATACCGTAAGTATCCACTGCTGTAAGAGCAATGGAAGTGGGTGGTAAGCAGCAAAAAAAATTCAGAAGCAGTAGTGCGGGGTTTCAATTATAAACACACTTACAAAGAAGTGCTATTAAATACAGTGGGACATATTTCTGAGTCAATGTGCATCACATTGTGATGCCATTATCTTTAAATTTAAGTTACTCAGGCTGCAATCTGGTACACACTCACCTGAGAGCAAGGGCTACTGAATTCAACAGGGCTTGCTTCTGATTAGCCATGTACATTGTCACTGTATTAAATAACCTGAGCAAATTTAAAAAAAAAACTAATACAAGATAAGTATTAGTGCCAATTGCCCTAATGTTTGCCCGCCACCCTTGTTTCGTTGCATTCATTTCCCGGATTGCTGGAGGTCAGGAAAAGGTTCACTTCTTACTGATTTTGATATAGTGTTGCTTGCATGCTTTCCCTTATATCTCATGCTAGAGCATGGGTAGGCAAACTAAGGCCCAGGGGCCGAATCCAGCCCAATAGCCTTCTAAATCCAGCCCGCAGACGGTCCGGAAATTAGTGTGTTTTTACATGAGTAGAATGTCTACTTTTATTTAAAATGCATCTCTGGGTTATTTGTGGGGCCTGCCTGGTGTTTTTACATGAGTAGAATGTGTGCTTTTATTTAAAATGCATTTCTGGGTTATTTCTGGGGCATAGGAATTCGTTCATTCCCCCCCCCCAAAAAAAATATAGTCCGCCACCCCCCCACAAGATTTGAGGGACAGTGGACTGGCCCCCTACTGAAAAGGTTTGCTGACCCGTGAGCTAGAGCCTACTGTTCTTTTTTAATATTGAAAAGTTGGAATAATCAAGGGATGTATCCTAAACATTTCCTGAGCAAGTCTCTCTATAGTACTGCTCTGTGGTCTGCTTTGAAATATCAAAACCTGAGTGTTGGGGAAACCTGTCTTTGAAGTTCATGCCACTTAAAGATGCCTTCCCTGCTCACCATATATCCCCCAGTCCTACCCAGAGATTTGTAAGCCTAGGTCTGAATCCCATTGAAATGCATCTTGTCATAGCTTGCAATATTGTCCACAACACCTTCTGCCAGCCCTTTGGTGATCCACAGTGGCGTAGCGTGGGTTAGAATCATAGAATCATAGAATCATAGAGTTGGAAGAGACCACAAGGGCCATCGAGTCCAACCCCCTGCCAAGCAGGAAACACCATCAGAGCACTCCTGACATATGGTTGTCA